GGAAAATTTACAGTATTATCTGGCAACTACTTTACACTTGATAATAACTGTGTAATAGTGTACACCACAATCTAACAGAAATGAGTAATATCCTAACCTTATTGTATGTATGAATGGATTCATTAACTTCAGGGGAATCATACAGGGTTTATACCTAAACCATAATCATACAGATTACAATGATGCTTCTGCTTGTGCCAGAAAAAATACAGAAACTGCACATACAGTAATAAATCAAAATATAATTGATATTTAAACAATCTTAATTAAAAAAAAAATTCTTAGAATATGTTGTCTATTGACCTGATCAAATAGATGTTGAAAAATGTGCATCTTCCACATAAGATGTGGATTTCTTAAATAAAACTGTCCAAGGAAATGATGATAAACAACCTCTGATTGTCCATGTAAAAGAGTCACATGCTATAAATCTTGCTTTCAGTGATGAAATTATTCATAATATACATATTAGAGAATAAGGTGAATGTTCAGCTCAAAGACAATGCTAATTTGATGGGTCACATCTCATGTTCACTTTTTTTCCTGATTCAACTAATCAAACTGATGACTATATCTATTAAAAAAACATTTCTGTTCCCTGTAATATATCCATTTTAATTTATTTATAGGATGCAATTTGTTGGGTAATATCAAAAGGCCAACCTGGTTAAATATAGCAGTTGAGGTCCAGTTTTTAGAGAGAATCAGCCTTTTTTGTATTATATCCAACAACAAAATAACATACTAAGTTTTTCTTAGAGGTAAATTGAATGCCAGTGTAATTTTAAAACTGCAATTGTCACAGTTTAAAGAAACACTGCCTGAAATGAAAAATGCCCGAATGAAGAAGGGACTACACTTCAGAACAGCAGCAATTTTGTTTATTCCTTATTTCCTTGGAGCAATCACAAATAAATAAATAAATGCAGGGTAGAGAAACCAGCCTCTACACTATAAGCATCAGTGGGCATCTCTACCTTGATGAGAGCAGTACAGTGTCAGCAGGTATATACTCTTTGCCTTTTATTATAACTATATCTCCAACATCTACCTGAAAGAAAACTGGGAATTGGTTAATGGTCTCAAACAAAAATATGTTATCCCTTTGTTTTAAGCACAGTAAATATTTACCTGCTGAATTTGCTAGAAAAACTGTTAGAAACTCACACATTTAGAGAAGGCTATAGGTATTAAGTACTCAAAGGTCACTGGAATTCTTCAGAAATCTATCCATTAACAGGTCTAATCCTGACCTTCTCCACGCAGTTCTTTACTTTTGCTAGTTATTAAAAATATTTTATTGGAAGACTGAAGTCGAGTTAAAGAAGGAATTAATCTCCCCTAAGATCATGTTCTGTTGCATCATGCTATATACCTTATCCTTGTTTCTCCAAAAGGTATAAATCAATTTCACCTGAACCTTGCCTCCAAATTACTGTGGGGCAAATTTTGTTCAAGCTTTCAGGTATGGAAACCAATAAAACCAAGAGACTAGATAGACAGCATAACATTTAGTCCTTCAAAGTTACCTTTAACAGTCCCTTCCTAACTACTGTGTAACAGTCTTTGAAGTTCTCACGGTTTAAGCCAAAGAAGTTCAGCAAATACACAAAGTAACTAGTTTCCAGAAGGAAGTTTCTGCCTTGGCACACCAAATAATACTAAGGAACTGTATAATTTTGCCATTTATGAATACTCCCAAGTCAATCATATTATTCAAGTTGTTTTTCACTGAACTTAAAGGCCACCATTTAATGGCAGTTTTGCCATCAAGACTGACTTGACTTAAAAGTACATTTTAAGAGATAAGTATTAACAAACAAAAAATATAATACAAAAGATTATACATTTCCCATCATACCAGTTATTTCTTATCAATGACAATTATTTGTAGAAATAAAGCAAATGTTAAATCTGCATTATGCTCTAAAAGTCACCAACATAAACACACACCTTTTCCCAGTGGACAATCTCCCATGCACCATTTCGTAGTACTGAAAAAAAAAAAGAAAAAAGAAGAAAGAATATTCCAGTTGTACAATCTAACTGCAGTATACAGGTATGTATTAGATTCCTTATGAAAAGCCATACAGACACAGCTCATTTACATGATATTTTACAGCATGCCTTGTTTCTATAAATTCAGGTCAAGCATTTCAATTATACAGCACATACTCTGTATAACAGTTTTTGTACCGTAGAATCTTATTGCAAAGTCAATTAGAACATTTTACTAGGTTTGAGAATCAATTAAATCTGATAGTCTATATGATAATGTGGTGTTTTCTAAAATAAATCAGTAACTGGAATAAAAACTGCCAAAGTCAAAAAATTATGAAATTATTGGTGGGGGCAGCATCAATTCAAGAATTTTTTCTCAGTTCAAATATTGTTAAAGTTCATACAAAAAAGATTCATAGAAAGTCACTAGCAGGCTTCTTAGGATCCAGCTGTTCTTACTGTTACTGGCATGTCAGAGAACTTCAGGATCATTGCAGTCATCTCCTCCATAAATATACTGGAAATCCCCAAAATCGACCCATGCCATTTAGTGTAATATTTAGTACAGATTTCCCCTGGCAGTAGCAATTAGTATTGTAAGCACACTCCACTGCTCTAGTTTTAAGAATTGCTACTATGATACAAAAAACATGCCTTGTTTGCCAGTTAATTGCCAAGATTGTTTTTTCAGAGAATAAAAAAGGTGACTTTTTTTTATTAGTACCAGTTACAAAGCTATTGAAGATTGATGTGCAAAAAGAAAACGAAATGAAAACATACTGCCACGTATCAATACTCAGATAATTCAAAGAGACTGTTCTCTTTCACTGTGTCTCCCAGCTTTCAAATTATCAGGATGCTTGTCTAAGTACCTGATCAGGATCCAATTCTTATGCAAGCATGTGTTGATTTCAAAAAAGTGGATCAAAATCTAGGAATATGGCCTTTACAGCTAAGCCTTCCTTGAGGTTCTGTCCAGACTGATCCCTCTTCTTGTATATCTCAATGATTTCTGTGAGTTGTTATCTAACCGGCTTAGTAATTCTTCAGGAAGAGATAAAGTCTCTTACCCTTCCTTCCCCCCCAGATTTATTAGTGCTGATATGCTCGGGGCAATGGTAAATGTAGCAGTTTCCCTTTCAGACAGTAAGCAAGATATTTTAATGTCTGTCTCACCAATCAGTTGATTATTACACAAAAGCTATTTTGAAAAACCATTTCCCTTCACTGGGAAAACTACAGATCCAGAGTGAGGACTGGTTATAATACTGTCCTAAGTAACCTAAGACATTCGATAATTGTGCCACCAACTACCTACTTCCATCCCCTTGTGTCAGCAGTACTGTTTGTGGGGCCATGATATCAACCAGATGAGAGAAATGACGAGGATTAATAATATACCTTGCATCAATCCAGATGACTAAGTTTCACAGATAGCTGTAGTAGTATAATTGACAGTGGAGTTCTACAGGTCCGAAATGTAAATAAGCTGCCAGAGGTGGCCAGAGGCTTCTTAAGAAGTGCTGGCTGCAGAAGCACTTGCACTGCTAAAATACATCCTAAGGCTGTTGCACATGCAGCCAAACTGATCTAAGGTAGTATTGCCACTGCAAAGGGAAGGTCCCCTTCTGCCCTTGCTGCTTAATGCCTGCTGCCTCCGGTGTTTGTTGGACCCTTGGATGAGACAGTTTAACCCACTAAATGGAAGGAAGCTGTGAGCTTTTCTTCCTGGGTTTGTTTCCTGCTGGTTTAGTTGGTTAAAAGCAGTTCACCAATGGATGAGTCAGACTCATGAAAACATGCTGAGACACCTGAAAACCTCAACAGTACTCTAACCCTGGCTTAATCCAATAAGCTTTTAAGCACAATTAACATACACTGACACGCAATTAAATCCATTTTCTTATGGGAACAAAATAAGAAGTGTTGCTATGCACCTTTTATATAATGGTTAGAGAACTTGTGCTATGAAGTCTTCTGCAGCCTGGCTTTCACATTTCTATCTGCCATTCTTCAGCTGTCTCTAGCAACTAACTTTCAAAAGCACGCTTCATCTGCCCTACAAAAGACTACTTCACCATATTCCAGAAATGCATATTTCACCATGTCAAAGTGTCTATGTCCTGCTGTCTATGTGTGCAGCCTGAGGTAACAAAAACCATCCCTAATGCAGCTTAATAAATCAAAAATCCTCCCTTTTTATAGTAATGGAAATTTAGAAAGTTAATTACTTAAGGTTAACTGAGATACAGATGGCCTTTAAGGAACAGACAGATGAAGGGAAACCCATATACAGAATCTATACATGCACATGTCATTTCATTAACAATTTTACATGTTCAAAACACAGCCAAAGGCAGAGCTGGATATATAAGGCAGTATGCACATTGCTACTTTCCAGGGTTACAGAACTGCTGAATACATGAAAAAAAAAAAGTTAAGATAGTACCATTCTGATTAACTTTTTAATTATTGCTTTGACAATAGATTATATTTGATGATACATTTAAGTATTGCTTTGACAGTACATCAGGATTGATGTTGTACCTATGTGAATTATGCATTAGCTTAAGAAACTTCTTTCTCAGTGCTAGCAATATTTTATGTACCCGCAATACACTTTCAATTTCCAAGATGCTCTTTTGTATGTATGGAACATTCAGGAGCTTTAGGAACAGTCACCAAAGAGTCTAATGAGAGGCAACCAAGGAGAAGAGGCAGGAAAGACAGTATAACAATTTTTTTATTAACTTAATACACCCTGGACCAAAAAAGGGGAAAAAAATTGAAAAGGCTCTTCAAGATTCACTGCCACCTAAAACTGTTGTTGCAATCTTAAAAGCTATGAATGCTTGATGAAAGAATTTTGGATATCTACATTAAGCTCTCCTTTGTTTTTTACGTATAGATAGGTTATCTGTTGCTCCAGGCCTGTTCTCTGGAGATTTCTATTTGCAGTGCTTTCAGTCAATAGATTTGTCTCCCTATCCTAATCTCTCCATACTGAGCTACAGGCTCAGTAGTTTCATAAGTTATCTTCCCTCCCTGTCCCCCGTAAATTTTACAGGAAACTTAGGTATGCTTAAAAATTTATGGTTTTAAATTAGAGACACTTGCAGTGGTTAGCAGTGCTAAACAATTGTGATTATGTTTAGTCAATGACTACATCCCTCCCTAAAAAAACCTTAAGGTTATGTTTGTTATCTATTCAAATAAGATTCCATGCAACATTCTGCTCTTCATGGTATTTTTCATCGTTCTGCCATCAAATTCACATGACAATCATTCCTCCTCCTTTATAAAAATAAGATCAGCTCTTGATAGAGACACCTACCTCAGAACAGGTAACACGAAAAGTTAAAGGGCAGCAAAGCAGCAACTTTTAAACTTGGATGTCCTACCTCACAAACGTGTTTAGGACGTATTAGCTAACATCTCCCTCACGTTCTGAACTAAAATAATCATCAAATCTAATACTTTTCTTTATTAAAATATTTTTTAAAAAATAAAAACCATATTCCAAAGTTTTGGTTTGCGTACACTGGCTAAGTATCTCCTTATCAAACCATTAAATTGATTTCATATTAAGAAAAACCCAAACCAAACAAAAAACTCCATTAAAGTTTATCCACAATTTTGAAGCAGCATAGAAAGTCCCATTTTATGGCTTTTCCTTCCAATTCCAGAGTTTTTCAAAATCAAATTATTCAAGATTTGCTGGTTGAATAAAATTATGATTTGTGTACTTCGAAATGCATAGACTTTTCATCATAATCTAGCCCCACCAAATAAAGTGGTGATCATGATCTTTTAACACAGTTGACGCTGTAGCTGTTAAATGAGTAAATTTTAAAGTTTCTGGGGAATGTCATAAACTTAATCTAGATCATATTCCATTTTGTGGGACTAATGTGACTGCAAATTGTTATTTCAACTGGTTAGATTCCAAAGTTTGAAGTAATCTGCATAAGCAACTTCCCACTCAATTACCAGTTCAGACAACATTACTACCATTTGCGAAAAATTCTAAAACAACCCCCCAACCCACAATTAACAGACTTTAAAAATTTCCTACCTTGAGTTTGTTTCTTGTTCACCGCATTATCAGCTTTATGCCTTTTCTAAATTAAAAATGCACAGTGGTTAAAGACTTCTGTTGACATGATAAAGCTTTCACACTTAAGATAAAAAACGCATATATATTACCTCTTCCCACTCATCAATTCAATAAACTGATTTAAAAAACATTTTAAACAGGACTACAGATTACTTGTACAGTTATGATCACCAGGAAAGCCACACCCAGTTCCAGGCTAATCAGTTGTACTAAAATGTCCTCTCATGTGGGCAAACGCTATCTAAACAAGTTCCTTATAGAAGGAAGTGGTCTATTTGTGTACCATAACTTTGCCCTTTCCTGCAACTGGAAAATGCTTCTACCAGAGCAAAGATCATGGAACCATTCCTCATACAAGTATAGAGATTCAGATCCGGTATAGATCTGAATCAAGCAATGACTGTGTAAATATATGACTTCACTTCCACATTAAGTGCCTGCAGACTTCAGCAACAGTAAAAACCAAGACAGACAAAAATCAACAAATCCCCCCCACCCTCCACAGGCCATGATGTCTCTCAGTTTTCATATAGCTGTGAGAAACCTTTTGCTAGAAATCTTTTGATGCAGCAACTAATCACCAGCATTTTCAAGGTATAACCAAACTCATCTTAGCTACAAAAAAAGCTTAGGAGACTAGTAGTTTAAACACAGTGTTTAAGAGTAATGAACTCAGTTGTGCCTGAGCAGGAACTTCATTTAGAAAAGTAATTTAAATAGAATTAACTGGCTTAGGTAAGCTTTTTGAATTGAGCTATGGAATTCATGCCTTTGAAATACCAAGAAAATCAGAAGCAATCTTGTAAATTGAAAGAAAAGTAAGCCAAGCTACTTAAGAAATATATTTCCAATTAAATGGTGGTATGACTCTGAGCTAGCAGCTCTTAAAAGGCCACCTTAGCACTTTGCAAAGATTGAGTTAAGGTATTAGGGTTTTTTTTTACTCGATTTTCACAGATTATCAGCAGATTCTCCTTTCAAAAAGATGGCTGCTTTCACAGATAAATAATCTTTGATCAATGGGAAGGCATAACAACTTGACCAACACAGATGTTTATTTGCCCACAGGGAGAATCTCCTCCAGCTTGAAAAGTAACAGTTTCATGTCAGTTGCTTTCTGAGCTATATGTGGGTGAAAATCATTGGAAATGGCTGATAATCTAGCATCGCACGCCGCAAATTTTGCTAGCACTTCTGAGACATATATGGAAAACACATGCTGTTCATGAATAATGTCTTCTGCTAACATCTTCTGCTTCTTGGGATTTCACTCCAGAAAAGGAAGCATTTGGTTCTTGAGCTGAAAGTATTATTTTGATAAGTCTATGTATTGATATTAATTATAAGGTTCTCATCCAAAAGCCAATTAATATTGTTTTATACTAGATGAAGATAACCATTCCTGGAGATCTTAGATATCTCACTATGTAAAGAAATTAAGACATAATGAAAATTAAAGGTTAAGGGAGAACACACTGAATATTTTACTATGCAGCAAGTGTGAGCTTTCCCAGGAAAAAAAGTATAGCTGTCAGAGTCAGCCAAATACTCCAAATATAACCAGCAGGCAACATTAAATTTCATACCTGTTTGACTATAAAACCAAATTGTTTGGTTTGGACTATACAGTCTGTGAAACTCAGCCGTGCAAGTGAGAAATTCATGAAGTTATCATCATATATATATACACACAGACACACAGAGATACAGCCTTTAAGTTAGCAGCTACTCCCAATCAGCTCCTTCATCTCATACAGTTTTGACTAACTAAAGCTGGAATTAACTACATGTTGAGGTAATGTAAACTTAACAGAAAGAAAAATGGTGTTTGCATTGCCTTTAGGTACCTCTGTAGTATATTTGGTAATGTGAACTTTATTGTTTTAGCTGATATATGCAAAACACTCCTAAACCTGTTCCTTGTCTCCCCCCCTCTGATGCCAAACTGTACACTTCAAGTTGCAAAGAGCAAATGGTAGAAACAAATAACGTAACAGAAAAGTGAGTGGATGAGATAATTTTAAAAAGGACACTTTGTACAGTAGCAGCAGCAGCCTCAGTTTTATATTTGCCTAGACACTGACAGATGGCATAAGTCTGTAAGCATTAACAGCAGAATAGTTAAAAATATCTGAAAGCATGAACTGATTTTATGGCTTTTTTAAAAGGGATTTTGTTTATGTAAAGTGGAAGCAACAAAGACATTTAAGGAGAAGTTGACTATTGGGCAGCAAATACTGAAAATCCCAAACAGAACAAAAACATTTAACGGAAATGTCATTGTCTCTTTCAGGACCACTTAACTCTGTGGCCCAGGAGCTTCACACGACCCAGCTGGATGATATATCTTGCCTCCATTCACAAAGGTAATTGAGAAGAAGAATCAGTTGACTGTCAGCAGGAAAGGCAGCATGTGCCCAGCCACCCTCCATTTCAGAGCTTTGCAGCTCACCTCTCTTCCCCTTGATCACGTTTCTGCACATACATTGTAATTCCACTCAAACCCAGTAAATCTGATGCTCTCAGAAAGCCTACTATTTGTGTGCCCAGAAAGACTATACTACCTGCAACCCTTTCCAAAAATCAAGAGAACAGCCCACAATATCACGAACCGGGAACACTACTCCTCTAGTAGATAAGGCACTCTGCCATATTATGACGTATCTAACTTCTTGTCCCCCACATAAGATATCTGCAGAACTAAAACAGAACAAGAAAGGATGAAGAAGTTCTTGGCATCTAGAGTGATTTGGTAAATCATCAAGACTGATTCCTTAGATACAAAAAGTATCATCTAAAGAGAAAAGACTCAACTATGTTACGCAAATTAGAGAGACATGTTCTACCATATCCTTTCAGTGAAGAGTAGGCAGGAAGGTACTCAGAAAGCCCCAACATCTTTTGTATGAAGTGAAACAGAGCCTGAAATTCCTGTACCTACCCACAAAATAGAAAAAAATCAGAATGTACACTTCCAAGTCCCAGCTCTTAAAGTTTTCATTCAATGCAAGAATAAAGCAAAACCACCAGTACCACAAACACTGACTGGAGAGAGCCCAGGAAAGCTTGGTGTAGGTGGGGACACCTGCCTAACAAGGACAAGCGTTCCATGTCTGTTCCTGGCCATCAGGCATCAGCAGATCACACTTAGCACCAAGACATGAAAGGCTAACAATAAATTGCACTGGGCTGGAGCAATGGGAAAAAAATAAAAAAGGCCTATTCCCCTTGCTGTCTACAAAACCCTGCAAAATCACAACAGGATTTTATCCATGTTACTTCAGAAATAAAGAGATGCATCAGATGTGTGGATCTGGATTTGACAACTGGGAAAAATCCCACTAACGGCACATTACTGACCTGCACTCATTCATCTAAAATGTATTAAACCAAATAGATTACCATTCTAAACATATTAAAATGTCGCACTATAATTCCAGTAGCAAGTGAAAAGATATTTAAAGTTTATTTGGTTTAAAAATAGATTCCACCTAAGATGAATTCAGTAGCTTCCAATCTGCTTTTAACAGAGCCCTTGTTTGAGAAAATTGGTGATATTCTAGACTTGACTGGGTTCTGTGGAGTCTTTGGTTCCAGTTCACACTTTAAAAATATGCTTTTAATTCATTAATGAGAACTCTTTGGCTAGAAACAATCTATATAAGAAATACAACAGTCACTGTTTTACCATGTTATTGCCACTTGCATATATAGTAAAACCACTTTCAAATCATAACACCATATTCTAAAGATTTCATCTTCTGACGTAAGTAGCTTTAAAAGTTTTAAAAAGCATCCAGAAGGCAAAAGTAGTTCAACAAAAATTCTGTTGGATAATTATGAAAAACTGGAAAGCTGTTCACAAAATATTACTATTAAATACTTACAATATCCTCTATTATCTCCTTCACTGCAGCTACAGCTAAAATAAATAAGAGAGGGACCAATGTTGTGTAACGGCCTGTTGGTGATACATCTGGTATTTGCTATTAAAAAGAGAAAAAAATTTGTTAGCATTGCTGCTTGAAAACATATTTTTAATACAAGAAGCAATACTTTCTGTGCAAATACAGACCAGGCAACTGGATTCACTTTTTAGACGTGGTAGTGATTATTTCCCAGAGAAGGTTATTGTCTTCAATTCAAAACAAGCTGATGCAGTAAAACAACATTTGCATTTTACATAGCATAGAATTCAGTGGAGTTACTTTCAGAGGTTTTAGTGTCTGCAGAATACTCACCTTCCTCTCTTGTGCTTCAAATTAAATTAAAATACATATTTATAAAATAAAATTCCTAGTTCCTAATGGTAACATTGATACGTGAGAGGATTGCTGCCTTAATAAACTTACAATAGGCAATGCAGCCCATATGACTACCATGAGATCTTTGCAAGGAAAGACTACACTAACAAGTGCTGCCTCAAAGTGGTTAGAGACATCCTCAATTTATCACAAAATGTTGTGAAAAACAGCCTTTGTTATTTATGAATTATATACATTTCTTTTTGCTACAACCACATTGTGCTTCTGAAGGAAAACAGGATGTTATACGTACATATACTATGTTTCTTGGAGTAAGACCACTATAGATCTATTTTCCAGGTTACTCTGGACCACATTTTTCAAGCAACTAAATGGAAACCAGGCAGAAAAAATTACTGTTGGGCAAGTGCCTACATGTTGGCTATAATGGAAAGGGATCTATCACTTCTCCAGCTATTCCTACCCTTTCATTCCTCCCTACATGTATGCCCAACCTCCCCCATTCCAATTAACACATTTTCCAGGCAAAATATGAAAGCAAAAAGGGCACCAGCCCATACTCTGGTTCAATTACCCCACATTTCTTACTCCTGCCACTGTGGTCTCACTGATAGCCTGATAGGAGAAGGTGGACTGGTAACTCTTAACATTCCACTTCCTCACATTCCACTTCCTCCACCCCAAACATCCACCTGCCAGCCTCTCACCCAGTCGTGCCAAGACTCAAACATGTTCTGCGTCTGCTAGCTTGATGCACACAGTGATACCACAAGAAATGCTGCTGGACCACTGGATTAGCCTGAGATGCCAGATGGGGTCCAAAGGCTGTGGCATTTAGAAGCCACAGGTTTGCAGTCACACAACCTAATGAAACCCCGAACTTCACATTTTTTCTCCCTAGAAAACAGTGTAAGATACCTGTGTAGATGTATCCTAAGAAACTGCTCCAAGCACTTAGAGTAGAAGGAAAAAAACCTGAATAAGTACAGAGGAATCAACTTTCACTTGCTGAAACATCTGAAGTGAGGCATGTACACATGGCAGTATATGTGCCATTATTTTAGTAATTTTTGTTTGGTAAATCAATTCCTAACACAATGACCTCCACAACAGACAAATCAACACATTCTAAAACATGCACTAGAAATTACACATAAAATGTGTGTTTATCAAATATGATTAGAAAATAGAACTAGCCAATGGTAATTACAACTGCAACTGCCCACAGTTCAATTTGCATTCATCATCAGTACCACTTTCATAGAATACTACACAAAATCCCACAATCTGCTTTATCAGCTTGAACTACTGCAAAATTAAAATATTCTGATATATCTGCAAAACGTTATGTACTCCTTCAAAAAAGTCTCAGTAAGCTGGGTCAGGGATAGCCCTTTACAATGAAGCTATAGTGGTGGTATAGAAAAGACTGTGTACTTTAGTCCTAACCAGCACAGTTAAGCAGCTGGGATATGGGAAATAGCTGCTACGGTAATGGACTCCCCTGCTATTTTTCTTCATCTAGGCTCAACTTCAACCCTTATCAGCCTCACTCTAAGAATAAATAATCACTTCTCCTCAGCTGCAATTCGTGCTCCTCAAAACAGACTACAGGATTAAAGTTCATAAAGTTCAGGTTTTTAGGCAGTAGCCGTCATTATGAGAAATGCCAACTACAGGTAACATTTTTCTGTGTATGCCAGATATTTTTAAACAGAATTTTGCTGTCACAACAGTCTTTTTCATCTGACAGTACTTCAGCTATAGCTAACCCATTTTACAGAAAAATTTCTATGTGTATTTTGTTATCTCCAAGGAGTTAAAAAACCCCATAGACCCAAATGTTTATTAAAGGTACGTCTACACAATACAGCTATTCTGAGAGGCTAACTAGCTCAGAAAGAACGGTACACCAACCTCAGCATCTCTGCAAAACACTCTCTATGGTATAAATGCTCTCTCAACAGGTTTCAAACATTAGCATCTTATTGTTGATCTTACCTGAAGTAACGCAATAAAAAGAAAAAATGCATTAGCAGCTCTTCTGAACTGGGAATAAAGGAACCTTGGCAGGAATGTGATTATGTTGTACTTTGCAGTGCTGAGAGAAAGAGACAAAAACATGCACTATTATTACAGTATGAAAAATTCTTCCAATTCAGTTCTCAGTTACACAAGCTTTCAAACAAAACAGAACCTTTTGCGATTTCTGTGCTAGCTAACAGATTTGTTTTGGCTACAAGAGAAAGTGAAAGACTTGTACCGACACAGTCCTGCGGGCCCCCATAAACCAGCCGACCCAGGGAAGCGCCCGCCGCCCACAGAGGCTGTCGCCAGCTTCCATCCATGTTGAGGCAAGAAGTTCCCTTGTCGCCTCTGCCTGCTCTGTGGGAAGCAGTTAAGCTCTGCTGCCACTCACTTACAGGCAATGAGGAGAGGCAAAAAAACCCCCAACCCCAAAACCACAAAGAGAAGGTGCAGGGCAGACACTGTGTACCACACCACCGAGGGAGCAGGTGGGGCAGGCCCCAGGCCCACAGCTCTCGGGCCCAGAGGAGTACCCTGCCCCGCAAGCTGTGGCATACGCCGGGCAGGTAACATGATGGCTCCAGGTTCAGACAAAGTTCTTGGGGAAAGAGGTATAATGAGTGTAACGAGGAGGGTGCTAAATCAGGATTGAGGAGCTGTGGAGCTTCTGCATTGAGTACAAGTTTGTACGACTCAATGCAAGAAACATAACAACGGGATCAGCTGACTGTAAATGTTGCATTTAAGAAATGATTAAAATTACAAAATTCCACCAAAGGATAAAAACCCCTATACTCTTCACTGAATCAAAAGTTCATTTTTTCAAAAACTGGTAAGTACTGGATATTAAGTGTAGTTTTGCTAGGCTGAAAGAATAGAATAGATTTTATCCTGCAAAGCCATCACCACGAAGTGGTTGAGCTCCTAGCTCTTTGCCAGCCCTACATTTGTTTAAAAACAGACTGCTACCACCTAAGGTCCTAAAACAGTAACAGCGAAAATAATCATGCCAAAAACTTAAAAGCTAAAGACTTCTAAGAGTATTTTAACCCCTTTTAAAGTTAATAATATTTAATTTAACTTTGCATAAAACAGTCAATTTAAAAGTGGCATTTCAACATTGGCATCCAGCTACCAGAAATATGTTCAAAGGCAAAAGATGAACTTAACTTCAACTGAATTGAAAGCTGAAGAAGAAATGCATACTCCAGGGAATGCTGATGGTACAGCTGCAAAGGCAACCCTTTCCCCACTCAGACTTTTCTCACCCCCTTCTTAAAAATTCAGAAGGTCAGGTTTGTAAATGAAAGAGCTCAGCTGCTCTTGTGGGTTCTCTTCATTCCCCCTCCAGAGTCTGAGACTGTAACTGGTGGTCAGAGGAAATGGCAGAAGTGGAACAAACAGAATTTTTCCTTCATTTTTGCTATGCAACATGTAATGTTCTGAAGTTCAACATGTATTAACAAAACCACTAGTCAATACCTGACATGATTATTGCAGAATTTGGTTAGCTGGGGCTGGTTGATGAATATAGTTCTCAGTTCCTCTTGATCAGCTAGAGAAGTTTTCTCTGAAACATCATCTGTCTTCTCATAGCCTGTAAAAACACAGCATGATTTTCCATATAAACAGATTTATATACACAAGATTCAAGGCACTTCATGACAAAAGATGACATCTATTGTGAATGTGAACTCAATGCATTTGCATTTCTCACAAGAATGCTCATTTAAAAGCAAAAAAGTTTCAGTCTTTTAAATAATTTTAATTAGATATGAGGATAAAAGGTATATAGTTAATATGCTTTGTATATACAATAATGAATAACAACCGTAAAATCTACTAAATTCACAAGTACACTTAAATAGCATGTGTCACTTCATATGAACTATGGTCCGTTGATGCATTTGAATCCAGAAGTGAGCACACAAAACCAACCAAACAAAAGGCTATTTTTTCCATCTCTTCCAGCTGAGTGATCTTGAGTAATTCTGGGCAACATGTAACAAAAAAATGTAGTTATCTGACAAATAAACATTACAAACTCAGAAGATCTCTATATTGTACACAGATCATTCAGCAGATCAGTTTCAAGTTTTGCTCGTAAAATACAACATTGGTCATTGATGAATTTACAGGAAAGTCAAATATTTAAGGGACATTTACTATAACCTTTATCCTATTAATTTCATACTACTTAATCTATTTTCCTGCACTATATCTGCAATATACACATAACAGACCTTCCCCTTTGTGCTTCTTTTAAACTAGTGTTACACACATGCAAATACCCTACAGTAGTGTAACAATTAAGTGTTTGCAAAAGAACACACAAATAGGTTAATTTCTTATAAAAACTTTCTGAAAATTTAACCATTAACCTCAATGGTAGAAAAAGTTTACCAAGATGATGTCTGAACAATGAAATTAAAAAGCATGTGTCTAGTATAGCTACCTTAAATCAAAATTACTAATTCCATTTGTTTGCACAAACCACTTGTTCTCAGAAATACTCATAGAAAATTCATTGTCACAATTAAAACTAAGCAAACATAGGAAACCAAGGTAAGCTACCCTACAGTGAGATCGATTATATTCTTCCAGTCCTCAGGAACCCCCCCAGACCACCATGGCCTTTCAAAGATAACCAAGAGTAGCCTGACAGCAAGACCTGCCAACTGCCTCTGCACTCATGAATGCATCTGATGACATCCCGTGGACTCATGTATTCCCAGCTTGTTTAAGTGTTCTCTAACCTGGTCCTCCTCCATTGAGGTAAGTCTTTCTTGCTCCAGACCTTCCCACTGGTGTCAGGAACCAGTGGTTCCTGAAGGTTGACCTTATCAGTAGAAACCAAAGTGGAGAAGGCTTTAAGTACTGCATGCTCTTCTGTGTCCTTCACCTCCAGGTTCCTCGTCCCTGTAAGCAGCAGGGGCTGCTTACATATGTAAGCATATTTTCCACAGTCGTCATCTTCCTGCTGTTACATCTGAAGGAGAACAAGAAGGGCTTCTACAAGTCCCTCACTAGATTAAACCCCAGGTGGACTTTGGCTTTGTTAAGCCCATCCCTCTATACTCCTCTTCAGTCACCTGTCCTCACTTTCTGCTCTTGAATGTTCCCTTTTTACACTTCGGTTTTGTCAGGGGCTCCTTGGTCATCCATGCAGCCCTACTGCCACCTTTACTTGATTTCTTGCTCATTGAGATGGACTAATCTTCAGCTGGGAGGTGGTGATCCTTGGAAAGCAAGACCATGAAACATTTGTTGGTTACTGGGATACCATTCCTTCACCTGCTACAAGTTTTCTGCAAGACACTAGTCAGATTATTCCCAGAGAAGAGGCATCAGTATATTCTTCATTTTGTGTGGGCTTAACTTGAAATGGTATTATTAGACTTAGGGACATTCTCACTAATCAGTGAAAGCTGAGCTTTGTGTATATTCTTTTATAAGCTACAAGGAATCTTGTACCAACCTGCATCATAACTTTCATCTGTGAAAGGGGACACCAATGTATTCTTCTCTCTCAAGACTTTTCACTAATGTTTTGTCAATCACTCAGCCATTACAATGATGACTAACAGGCCTAAGTAGCCCATTCAGGCTGGAGCTTGTACAGTAAATACAAGTATGGCATAAATCAATCACCAAAGAGTTTTAAAACAATAACCCGTGTGTGTATAGCTGCTTGCTAAATAAGTGCAGTTCATTCTGTATGCCAAATGAGAAAGATGCATGGGAAAAAATGTTAGAATACAACATCATAATGTATATGCATGTCAAGGATAATTAAGGTTATACATGAAATCTTGAAACTTACTTCTAACATGTTCTATAAAGCCTTACAAACAGGTTATGCAAAACTCCAGTCATCCTTCAGTCCACTGGCCTACTACATAGCCTCTTACTTATTATATGTAGAAAATAAATTTCATATACTAACTTCCTCGAAAGGGCAAGTCTCCGCATATTGTGCAAAGACTCAGTAGAAACCTAACATAGCAGATGCTATAACTACAACAGGAAATACCCATTATTGTGTTCATCCACTGCAATTTTTTTATTCCCTTCCTTCCAACTCCCCCAGTGAAAGGCATGCATCCAACCCACTTCTATTGAAACAAGTATGTATCTCAAGAAGACCCTTCAAAGGAAGGGGAGCCAGCCTAAGAGACCGGGTACACCTGAACAGGCACCCACACAATACTCCTTAACTCAAGGAACCACATGGGTCTACGTGGCAGACTAAGCATGTAATTTCTAACCTTGTCGTAACCTCTCCTTGGAGGGACAACCATCACACAACTGGCTATGCACAACCTCCAGCACACAACTCCATAAACACGTACCCCTATAACACAACTGGATATAAACACATCTTCAAGATGACTAGGGTGTTTTTTAGCCAAGCTGCAGGTGCACATCCAATCTTCTGTTTATACCTGACTCAGCCCAAATCCATCACACAGTGAACTCGCCTTCATTCATGGTTGCCCTGGTTTCAGCTGAGATGGAGTTAATTTTCTTCATAGTAGCTAGTATGGGGCTATGTTTTGGATTTGTGCTGAAAACAGTGCTGATAATACAGAGATGTTTTTGTTATATAGAGGTGGGAGTTTTGTTATTGTTGAGTGGCGCTTACACAGAGCGAAGGCATTTTCTGCTTCTCACACCACCCCACCAGCGAGGAGGCTGGGGGTGCACAATAAGTTGGGAGGGGACACAGCCAGGACAGCTGACCCAAACTGACCAAAGGGATATTCCATACCATATGATGTCATGCTCAGCATATAAAGGACTTGAGAGAAGGAGAAGCGACGGCATTCAGAGTGATGGTGTTTGTCTTCCCAAGTAACCGTTACACACGATGGAGCCCTGCTTTCCTGGAGATGTCTGAACACCTGCCTGCCCATGGGAAGGGGGAATGAATTCCTTGTCTTCGCAGCTTTTGCTTTACCTATTAAACTGTCTTTATCTCAACCCACGAGTTTTCTCACTTTTACCCTTCCGATTCTCTCTCCCATCCTGGCAGGTGGAGCAAGCGAGCAGCTGTGTGGTGCTCACCAGCCGGCTGGGGTAAAACCACGACATCAGTATAGGATATTTACTTTCCAGTTGCTCGATTTCATGTTGCAAACATGAAATACATTTCCTGTGAGACCACTTGGGTGGAAAGGTTGGAAATTATTGTGTCAAAAGTATCAACCTAGCCTGACTAAGTTCAGGAAATAAGGAAAGATTTTGCTTATTTGTGGAATGTACTACTTTAATTTTAAAGCATTAATTTTAAAACTTGTGCCAGTATAAGCCTTGAATACTGACAGTGATAGAATTAAAGCAAATGTTGGCAGACATTAAACACTATATATTACCTGTTTGTTATAAAGACTGCCAAACTATAGACATTTATTTTCATATATCAATATTAAGGCATTTATTTGTTCTCCTTTAATCAAAATGACAGCAAAAAGGTGCTGAGGAGCTTCATAAACATTTACCGTCTCACCTTCTACTACCTTGAATTCACTTTTTTTCAATTTTCACTTAAAAAGGAATCTTAGGAGTCAAACTCTAAGCCTCACATGTAGCCCTCTATTCTCTGCAGCTTCAGTAAAACCAGCTGTCCTGCCTCAGGTGCATTATACTACCCTGAAAACTTTAAAGGTTACACATGTCCCATCACCTCCCTGCCTAAATAGGGAATACATTCACTAGAGTACACAGACTAGCCTGATACACAAAGCTCAGCATTAAGGAGATAAAATTTTTCTTCCCCAGTTGTGTTTGTCTATATATGTATACACACACACAAAATATCTAAAAGCTTATGCATTACTGAATCTATTATATAATCTAAAATGGTAAATACGATTAATTTAAATGACTAAAATGTTTTCCAAGCAACACGAGACACAAAGTCATTTTTAAATGCTCTGTCTGCTAAGAGTGTAAAACAAAGAGAGACATGAAATTCTAATTCAGCATTTGATATAGACCTTCTACATCCCACCCTCCCACAATGCCATTTCTTTAAATATCCATATACCACCCTTTGCAATACCACCATTGCATCTTGCTTGCATTACCCACCCAAGAACTTCAGTGAACAGTTCAGCACACCTGAGTTTCAGCTCCTCTGCAGCTATGTGTCTATCCTGGTTAGCTAATAAGATGCCTAATGCCTGGCCAGAAATCGGGCACACTCGTCTTTGTCAGGTAGCTGCTGATTTTCAGAACTGCCTGAGGTCAAACACAACTCTGCTGCGCAGCTGCAAGGCAAGCCAAAGCTCAAGCACCGTTTCTGGACTCTCAGCATGCCAAATGTCTTCAGGGACACTATAATGCCCTGGCCTACATGCAGGACAGGCAACAACAGTTTTGTTTTTAAAGTCAATATGCTATGCTTCATAAGTGAAATTTTCCACTAATTTGTCAGATACAGGACTATGTTCACAGGTACCACCTTGAGTGTGACTGGGAGTTCCCCACATGATGCATTCACTAGAACTGCAACTAAAAATTATCTATCACATTCCCAGGGTTCATTTGTATTCTGTATCTTCAAAAAACTATCATAAAGCATTTCCAATTTCT